CCATGACCGGGTTCGGGATTGGGCAGACGCGGCCGTTATCGTAAACGGAACTTCCGTCCCCCCAATCAACTACTCGTTCATGGCGCCCTCCACACTGCACCGTCGTCGCCGCGCAGACCGGACCCGGGTCGCCCAGCGCTCAGGCCGAAGGCGTCGACCTCGTCCTGCTGACCCCTACTTGACCCCTCTTGCACCCACGCCTGAGCGTGCTTGCTAGGGTCTTGAAGAAGCCGGCCTGACCACCGTGGCCGTTGCCCTCGTCCGTGAACACGCTGAGCGCGTCCGCCCGCCCCGCGCCCTGTGGGTGCACTTCTACTTCGGCTACACCATGGGCAAACCCAACGACCCCGATTTCCAGCACAGGTCCTTGCCGCCGGCGTTGGCCACGCTGGACGCGGACTCCGGCCCTTCCTGGCCGACTATCCGGAGACGCCGGCCCCTCGTCTTCCCCCGCCTCTGAGGTACCGCGTCAACCAACGGTGACTCCGTCAAGCCCCTCGCCGCGCCGACGAGATCACCGGCCTGCGCGGCTATTACGAGCGCTGGCAGGAACAGCAGCGGCCGCACCGACGTGCGTGCGTCACGGCATCCCGCGAGCGACGGCTTCCGCGGCATCATCCGCGCTTCCTGGAGGCCTCGCCGAGACGCGACTGACGCCGACATGGCCGAGCGCCCCGCCGACCGTGTCGGGTCCCAGTTCGTTCGCTACTGCGCGACGAATACCTCAAGCCTTCTGCTGACGAGCTGCCCGCATGTCCCAGCGCCCCGACGTCAGCGCGAAACCGACATCCACACCTCGCGGTCTGGGAGCGAAAACCGCAGTCGCGCCCTCACGACAGCAGACCCCAGCGCGCCTCAACTCCACGGCGACGCCAAACTCCAGCCACGCCGTTAACGGCTGTCCCGCTAGCGCAGTTCTTCGATGCCTGATCCTACGTTGCGTTGGACCAGGCATCGCTGTTGTGGACCAGGCATCCGCTTCACCAGCCTGTCATTGCTGAGCGTCAGCGCCGGCACAACTGCGACGAGCGGCATCGCCCTACACGACACGGATACGCCGCGTCGCTCTTGCCTAAAGGCCGCTGCCCGTCCCGCCGCCCGGAGTGATCAGCAGCCACGTCGGCGAGCGGTATGTGAAATGCAGGCGCCAGCACGGCCGACTGCGCGGCGACACTGCATTCCATCCTGGGAGGTTCCACCCAGCCGGGAAGTGACAACGTCCGCACCGGATCAGTTGTGATCGTGACCCTCCGCTACGCGGCCAGCTGAGCGGGAGCACCTGCTTGATCAGCTCGCTGCGCACATTCAAAACTCGCCCGCCGATCCTTCGCCTGCACGACAGCCGAAGTCCACGTTGCTCTCCCGAACGTCGCATAGCCAAAATAGGCGTAATCCCGCACCGCTCCCAGGATGCTCGGCCAGCACCCGGTCATCACCTCCGTGGCTCACCTGCTCGCACGGCGCTGCAGTCGCTCTCTCGTACGCCACATGCCGCAGGTCAGCGTACACGTGTGACGGGCTTCATCCGGCTTGTTGTAGTGGTGATGATTGTTTCGTCGGCGAAACGGGAGTTGCGGTATTGATTACCAGGTGTTGGTCCAGGTCGGAGAGGTGACTGACGCGCCAATTACGTCCACCACGTATCCCGTCACAACACAACTCGGTCCTCCATGTCGATGTAGTCGCCTCGACACTGCGACGGGGCCCTCGGTGTATTACGTACGTGCTCGGCGAAAGGTTGCTGAGAGTGGGCTGGCAGCGCCAACGCCCACCGCCAGGGCCGCCGAGGCCGAGGCCGAACAGTGGGGTGACGTTGACGCCCAGAACATCAGGGACAGCATGGCCGACATGGTTAAAACCGCAATCATGATGCCGCGCGCGTGCAAGAGGCAGCGCCCAGCTGCTCGTGTCAGCCGCATCGCTGTGGACAACCGGACTTGCATCCACTGCAGGCTACGGATGCGATGGAGTGACCAACATGGCCAATAGGATGGCAGGATTGCGGTGCTTGTTCACACATCATGAACGGCGCTCGACAACGAGAGGGTACTCAGCGCCAGATACACTCCATCAAAATTATTATGGCTGCAATGGGTGCTCTGTGTCGCACCGCATCATCCGGACGTCAAATCGGGACCGAACCAGATGAACAGCCGAGCAACCGCGGAATATATCGGCTGAACAGCACGGCATGGTAATCGGGCCACATGATGACCGCGCGATCAATAGGTCGTCCACACGGTGCTGGCCGCGATGGCCCATTCGGTTCGGCCTGCCACAAATTCGGAGTATTCACCATTCAGTGACCGATATTCACCGAGCGAAGCTGCCTGCACGATTCGCGGCAGCATATCACCGGACGTCCGGCACTACAACGTGCGCCCCGCGGCCGCTGTCAGCTGGTGCTCGGGTTGACCTCGATTATCGGACGCGCCCCGCTCGCGGGCAGCAACGGCAGTTGCCGCTGGCCGGGTTCACACCGCCCTGACGTTCCCACATCAGCAGTCGCGTCGCAGCGCTCGCGCTCACTTATGCGACACCGATCCAGGCACCGCCGCGGAATCGCGTCGCGAACATCACCGTGTCCAGCTGATGATCCCATCCGCGCATTCTACGCACACCGTGGACCGTCGGTGATGGCGTGCTCCGCCGTGGCCGTCGGGCCACCGCACCCGATGCAGCGTAGTAGTTGCGTTGCCATGGATTTCTCAGCAGGTGGGCTGCCGCTCTGCGTGCAGGTCGTCCACAGTTCTGCTTGGATCACCGCCCTGATGAGGCCCGCGGTCCTCACAGTTGCGCAGATGGCAACGTGACCGGGTTGGGCTCGCGGTGTCACCGCGTCCTGAGATCGTAGTCGGGTTGCCGGCGTCACCTCATCAGCTCAGCCGCTAGCTGACTCCCACAGTCCTGCGGGTCCGGAGAACACACCATAGGACCAAATGCGGACGGCTGACCCGTACTGGTCCACAGGCGTCCGGCCCGCGAAACGCACCAGGTATGCCGCTCTCCACCGAGAGGCCGCGCACGGTCAGGCGGACGGCATACTCGGCGTCGGCGAGAATGGCACGCAGTTGGATCGGCAACGGGATCACCGGAGGGTCATGCGAACTACTCGCCTCGCGTCACCGCGCCGCTCGGCCACGCTGAAGTACGCGGCGTATTGCCCAACGCTTCGCGAACGGTCCGACGTCGGTGGGTGGTGACCAGAGTCTGACGATACAGGGCGACCTTTGCAAGACCCTCTCCCGCCGCCGGTCGTCCATTTCCGAAACACGTGTCCACAGGATGACGGGTCATCCCCGCGAACCTCGGCCAGGTACTCGGCCTCCGCCAGCCGCAACGCGAGGGCGATGGTTCGAGCCTCGCACCCGGGACGCCAAGGAGGCGGCATCCAGGCCGTTGACAGAGGTCGCAAAAGTTGTCGCGGTGCGGCCCGACGGCCGTGACCGCGGGTGGCCTGTCCCGCGCCGAGACCGCTTGCAACTCAAGCTGTGAACGCCGAGGGATATCCTCGACGGACTCGCCGGGGGTACGCTGGGCAGATACTCCAGCGCCAGGTCCTGTCCGGCTTCCCAATTCGCATGCTGGCGACGGGCGAAAACGGACAGCCGTGCCAGCGCCTCGGATCGCCCGAAGGTTACCACAGGCGACGGACAAGCTGCTCGTCCCAATACTGCAGCTCTTCCGGGTCGACGTGTCCGTCCCTCCGGCGTCGCAGCAGGCCGTTGCGGTTCCGCAAGGCGGCCTGAAGCGTTGCAACGCCTGTAGATAGGACCGGTCCGCCTGGCAGATCAGCACGTCCAGGTAACGCCGGCGGTGCGATGGTGAACCCAGTACAACTCCAGGTCGTCCACGGAAAAAGGGACGCTGCGATCCGGCCAAACCAGGCCGGCCGCCGTGGCAGGTTGGCGGTTGATCCGTATCTGCTTGGTAACCGGCGGCAGCGTCGCCGGACCTGGACTCGCCGCGTCACTACTCCACTCGCACCGGACTCTCGCGCCGTCGGTGGTAGCCGATCACCACGGTGAGCGATTGCCCGTCGACACATGCCGTTCCGTGATGTAGGCTGCCCCGCCGTCCCGCGCGGCGTCGAAGTTGAGCACCTGCCGCTCGCGTTCAGTGCGGAAGGACCGGCCCACGGCCCAGCGTGTAAGCCCGCCTCAAGCAGGGAGGTCTTCCCCTGAGCGTTGCCGCCGTGTAACACGCCCGACACCCCGCCGGCGGCGCGATGTCGACTTCGCGAGAAATTGCGGTAGTTGACGAGGCTTAGCGCGTGATACGGGCCAATGGGCGATCCCTGACCGCCTAGCGATCGGCGGTAGACGTAGCGGCCTTCGATCTTGCCCGCTTTGGCCAGTAGCTTCAGCAGCGTCTGGTCCGCCTCCTGGCCAAACCCTATGGTATGGACCAACATGTGGGTACCTTGTCTTCCGTTCCCAACAGCCTCAGCAGTTCATTCGTGTGGTCTCGCTGGACGACTCCACGCAAGCTCTCCCCGGAGCAACTGCCAGTCCCGCCGGACACGGGTCCAGATCTGCAGGATCGAAGGTGTATACGCCGCATCGTTGCCGCCCGCATCCGACGTCCTGCTGCACACCTGTCCCGGAGCCCCCATCCCATCAGGACACGGCGTCGCAACTCGCCGGGTCAATCACCTTGAACCCGCCGTCCGATCCATCGGTCAGCAGCACAATCACGTTGGCTCTACGGTTTCGTCTTCTCGTCCAACCCGCCAGCATCAGAGTGGGCATCTTTAACGGCATCGTAGATGTACGCCGGCCGATCCTGCGTGGCCATCTCGTTTACCGCGTTCAACCATTCGGCCTTCGCGCCCTCCGTCTCGTCAAAAGACGCCATCGGCACCAGGGGATCCGTTTCGTCGGTAAAGGTCATCAGCGCCGCGTGTGCTGTTCTCGGCGGGCCGCCCTTGAGACGGGTCCACGTAGGGCAACACCACATCCAGCAGCGCTTGCTTGACGATCGGGAGGTTTCCCCCGTCCTCAATGCTCTTGCTCACGTCCACCAGGAATACCGTATTGGTATTGTCTTGGAACAGGGCCGGTAATATCTCGTTTCAAACGGTGTTGCCGCAACTGCATCGGACGCTCAGCGCCCAGAACCGATGGCGCCGCCAGGTCAATCCCATCCTCGTCGGTGAACAGCCAGTAAATGCCGTAAGCCGCCGCCGCCAGGAGGATCAGCGCCAGCAGAATGCCGAGAACTATCAGCAGTTTCCGAAAATCGAACCGGCGCTGCGGCTCTCCATAGCTGATGTTGTAGACGACACGGTGAACCACGCTTTCGTGCCGAGGGCTGCCGGCTAGTGTCCCGGGCGCAGCCTTCGCAATAGCCGTAAAAATCAACTCGTTGCGAGGAGATGTGAAAATCCGTGTTCTCGCCGACCGCCCGTTCCAGGTCGGCCACGCCTTCCTGGCCGACTTCCGCATCCACCACCGCGCCGCAGCCCAGGCACACAGGTTGGCATGGGCGACAGGTTGGCGTCATAACGGGACTGCTTCTGGAACGGCAACTCCCGCACGATGCCAGCCCGCTCCAGCAGCGCCAGCGTCGAATACACCGTTGCCAGCGTCACGTACGGAAGAAATCACGCACCCTCTCGAAAATGTCGCGCACCGTGGGATGGTCCGCTGAGTTGACCACCACTTCGGCAATGGCGAGGCGTTGGGGGGTCAACCTGATCCCAGCGGCTTCAAACGTGCGACGAGATGTTCCTGGGTAGTCACAATATTGAACTCGAAAAATCGTATTGATAAAGCCAGTATATCACCGCGCGCCTGATGGCGTCCGAAGGTTGCGTGGCCACTAATCACCACCGCCGCAACAGTTCGCGGCGCGCGCGAGCCGGGAAACCCGTCGCGCAACGCCGGGACGCGTCCCCGGCGTTGCGCGACCCGAAACACCCTGTGGGAGAGGTTGTGAATCCTCCCCCACTCATGGCGCGCGATGGCCCGCGGTTAGAGGCGTCCGCCGCCCCACGCGGATACTCGCTCATTGACTCCATAGAAAAGGGAGTCCAGCTGTGGAAGACCTGGATGCGTGAGCGCGCGTCTCCACCACGAAGATGCGACCCTCGTCGTCGCACTCCACGGCAATAGGCCCCCAGAAACAGCTTCTCGCGATCCAGGCCCTGGGAAATCCTGGCGCTCCTCCACATTTCGGGGTTGGCTTCCAGCTTGCCCATGCCCCATTGGGAGATGGTGCCCTCGCCGTACGTCATGCCGGCGAAGGAGCCGTCCGGGTGGAAGGCCTGCATCCGGTCGTTGTTCCAGTCGGCCACGTAGATCGCACCCTCGTTGTCCACCGCCACATCGGTCGGGCGATTGAACTGTCCCGGGCCGTCGCCCGTGGCGCCGAACTGCATCAGGAACCTGCCGTCGGCGGTGAACTTCTGGATGCGATCATTGCGCCAGTCGGCAACGTAGACGTTCCCATCCCGGTCCACTTCCACGCCGAAGGGCATGTTGAACTGGCCGGGGCCGTCGCCAAGCTCGCCCCACTGGCCAATGTACTCGCCGTCGGCGGTGAGCATCTGCACGCGGTGGTTGTTGCAGTCAACCAGGTACAGGGTGCCGTTGGCGCCGAAGACCAGTCCGCTGGGCTTGTTCCACTGGCCGTCGCCGTCGCCCGGCCGCTCCCACTTGGTGAGGTATTCGCCATCCGGGGAGTAGATGCTGATACGGTCCAGGTACTCGTCCGCCAGGTACACGTTGCCGTTGGGACCCACGGTGATCGCGGTGGGCCAGATGATGGCCCCGTCGGTGGACACGGAATCGCCATCGCCCTGCTCGAAAACGCCCTTGGCGAACTCGCTGATGAACTCCTCGCCCACGGTGCACATGGTGATGCGCTTCCCGTCGGGCCGGTAGTCGTAGGAACGGTTGGCGACGTACATCACGTCTTCTTCGCCACGGGCCATGGCGGTGGGGTTGCGAAACCCCGGTCCGGAAAACTCTGCCCTGCCGATGCTGTGGCTGTACTGCAGGTCGATCCCGACCGACGGCAGCGCCCTGGGGTCGATGGTTGTGGTCATAAGATATTCCTCCGTTGCTGCTGGTACGGGTTTTGCGGCCGGCCGGGGCGAATGGTCATCCGCCCCGGCGCATCGGCTAGATGAAGTTCAACTTCTCGAAGGTCCCGTTCACCAGCGGCTGCGCATCCAGACCCATCCAGTTCTCCAGCAGGTCCATATAGATGCTGCGGAAGTCGGTGTTGAAATGGAGGTCGCCTTCCAGGAGCTTGTCCTCTGCCAGCGACGGATACTGGCCGTACAACCCGCCCTGCACGTTGTCGCCCACCACGAAGGCGACGCCGCCGCTGCCGTGGTCGGTGCCGGAGCCGTTGTCGTGCACGCGGCGCCCAAACTCGGTGAAGACCAGCAGCGTTACATTGTCGCTGGCTTCATGCTCACGCAGGTCGTCCATGAAGTCGGCGATGGCGTTGGAGGTGTTGCTCCAAAGACTGGCGTGCGCTGCCAACTCGCCGGCGTGGGTGTCGAAGCTGTTGTACGGAGCGGTCGTGTAGAGGACGCGCGTGCCGAACCCGGCCAGGTGCACCTGGGCGATGTTCTTCATATACTGCGCGACCACGTCTTGGCCGTACTCCACGCTGGAACTGTACGTCTCCGGAGCGGTGCTGAGGATGTCCGCGCCCTTGAGCGCGTCCGTGCCCGTCTGCGACAGGTAGTCCACCACCGAGCTTCGACCTAGCGTCGGCGAGTACATCTTGGAGAAGATGTCCAGTGCCTCGGTGCGCTGGTCCTCGGCCTCGATGCCGGTTAGCACGCCGTAGGTGGCAAGGTTCCCAACCGAGGCTACCGGCACTCCGGGGGCGGCCAGAGCCCGCGGCAACCCGCGACCGAAGTTCACGCCCGTAAGCACGTTTTCCTTGTTGGGGTCAAGATCGCGAATGGTGCGGCCCAGCCAGCCTTCGGTGCCCTGCTTGTCGGGCTCGCAGGTGTGCCAGATGTCCATGCTGCGGAAGTGGCTGCGGTTGGGATTGGCATATCCCCACGCCCTGGATGACGGCAACCTTGCCCTCGTCGTACAGCCTCTTGAGCGGGCCCATGTTGGGGTTGAGCCCGACGAACCCATCCAGGTCCAGGGCCTGACCCTCCGGCACGCGGACGGACGGCCGATTGTCATAATACAGCGGGTCCCCGTGCGGCACCAGCGTGTTCAACGCGTCGTTGCCGCCGGAGAGCTGGAGCACCACCAGCACCGGATCTTTCTTCGTAGCGGTCATTGTGTTTCTCCTTGTTGCGTTGGAGATAATGGATGAGGGTGGAACAAAATGTCGTTTAGTCGGTCGAGGTCGCCCTGGACGCGGGTTCCGGTTCAGTGAAGGGCATACCCTGCTCTTCCGCTTCCTTGCGCCTCTGATTCCATTCCGACCAACGTCGGTTCGCAGATGCTTCGCCTTCCGCACGGCCCTGCTCGCGGGCTTTGCGCTCTCTGCGTTCGGACCAAATTGCGCCGATAACCACTCTGCTTACCTCTGTAATGATGGGTGATGCGATGAGGGCTGCCGCACCGGCTCGTATCAATTCACCGGTGACGACGTACTGGAGGGCCATCCACCCCGTGATTTCTTTCGCGTTTAGTTGTACCAGCGTATTGGAAACTGCGAGATAGACGGTGATTACGGCGAATACGGCCAAATACCACGGCATCGCCCTAGCGGGAATGCTGGGTATTCCAATCCGTGCGTTACGCTCTGGACCATCCGTCCGCGCTTCCTTGTTCCGCATCCTTCGCTCCGGTAGTCGGCTGCCCCAGCCGCCGGTCGGTGATCCGGGGCAGCCAAAACCAAACGACGGTTAGGCGAACTGGTACTCCTGAGTGCTCACTATCAGCTGCAGCGTCTGGGCCACGGCGTCCGAGTATTCCGGTGTTCCCGGGGCCGGGTCGCCGTTATTGCCGGTGTAGGCAACCAGCTGATCCCGCGTTTCGGGGGCCAACTCATAAGCGCCCACCATCTCAAGACACCGGTCAACAACGCCCTCGGCGGTGTTCACCTGCTCTTCGCCCAGTCGCGCCACGATCTCGCGCACGCCGGGCAGGCTGGTGTTGCCCAACTGGTCTGCGGCAAAGTTGATCCGCTCCACCAGCGTGCCGGAGTCGATCCACTCGGCGCCGGTGTGCCAGCCCTCCACCGTGGGCGGGTTCATCAGGTCCTGCCCCATGTAGCGGATGGTGTTGGCCAGCGGGTTGAGGCCCAGCTTCGGCGACGTGAAGTCCTGCACCAGCCGCATCGTTCCGATCACCACCTCGGTCGGGCTCTTCACCTTCTCGAAGCGGGCATTCTTGAAGAAGTCCGCGTTGAACATGACCCGCAGCATGGCGGTCAGGTTGTAGCCGGAGTCGAAGTACGTCTGCTCCAGCAGCGCGATCGCTTCCGGATCACGTGGTGGCGTGTTCTGCCAGGCCGGCACCTGCACTTCATCGGCAACGAAGAAATTGTACAGGTGGCGCGATACAAACCGCGCCGCGGACTGCTGCCGGGCGATGATCTCAACGATGTCGTCGCCGTTGAAGTTCCCGGTCTCGCCCAGGAACGTCTTTTCTTGATTATCGTGGTCGTAGGGATTGTAGAGGAAGTTCGACTCGTAGCGACCGTAAGGGTAGCGCGGAACGGCGTTGGTGATGGTCCAGCCCGTGAAGGCTCGGGCCGCTTCCTTGACGTCATCCTCCGAGTAGTTGGCCTCGCCGTCCATGCCGACTCCAAGGGAGAACAGCTCCAGCAGCTCACGGCCCCAGTTCTCGTTGATGGCGCCCTTGTGGCTCATGCAGTTGTCCAGGTAGAACACCATGGCCGGGTCGCGGGACAGGCCCTTCAGCAGGACGTCGAAGCTGCCCATGCCCAGCTCACGGAACATGTCCAGTTGCAACTGGATCTGCCGGCCATGCTCGCACTTGGAGTTGCCCGTGCAGAGGATCCCGTGCCAGAAGAGGGCCACCTTCTCCTGCAGCGGGCGCTTGGTGTTGATCATCCGGTAGGTGAGATACGCCTGGTTTACTTCCAGAGCGTTCATTTCCTTCCAGTCGACGAAGTGACGCTCCAGGATGTCCATTTCCAGGTCAGGCTGCGAAATGGGGTTGAGCAGTTCTTCGACGGTGGCTTCGTAGCCTTGGGCGGCGCGCTGTTCCAGTTCGGCGTAAGAGGCGCCGAAACCGGCCCGACGCATCAGGTGCGCCATCTGGGCAATTTCCTGGTTGGTGGGCATGGCGTGTACCTCCTGGGTGACTTTACGGTTTCAACACTGGTAGAAGCGATTAACGGCGGTTACCGCACGTGCGACGCACGATCCAAGCGCGTACCAGATAACCTTATCGGATGGCCGCATACTACTCGCCGGGCCGTTTGAGTGTCAAGAAAAGCCCGGCCGGCGCGCCGTATCGAGCCGAAGATGGAACGATCATGAGGACTACGACAGTCCCGCTACCCCGTCCGCTGACCCACTCCTGCGCTTCCGGCGGAAATGCCGGTTCCGGCGGAGGTTCGTCGTACCGCGCCACTTGGGCGTACCGCGCCGTGTGGTGCATGGCATTGATGATCGAGCCCAGGTCAACTTCGGGGCCGACTTCGTCCTCCGGCAACAGTGGCAGGGCAAACTTGGGTATGGCTTGCTTTACCCAGAATGGGTACAGCAACGCGTCGGGACGTTCCCAACCACGACACACCAGGACGCGGTAGTCGCTGGCCGGCGGCGGCACCTCCAACGGCATCGGTTCCCAGCGCCGCAGCAGGTCGATCTCCACCAGGCTTGCTCCGCTGGCGACTATCACCTCACGCTTGCGGACATAGCGAAGCCGCTCCCGCCCCGGCGCTTTGTTGGTAGGCGACAGAACCTCAACGATGGTTACCAGTTCCCGGTCGGGCACGGTTTCCACCCGCAGCCAAGCAACCCGAATCTCCCCGGGGCATCCGAACGCGCACGCCTCCGGCCTCTTCCGGCGGAGCGGCTACGGCGGTCGCAGCCTCCGCGGTTGCGGTTGGGCCCACCGGAGTGACCGTCGGTTCCCTGGTAACCAGCGCGTCGGGCACCATCAGGTTCAAGCCCAGGGCAGAACCGAATGGCTCTTGAACCTCAACACGCGGTGCAGGGCGATACGGTAGTTATCCGGCAGCAGAGGTCCGAGAATATCTCGCAGCTGTACAATCAATCCGTCGTGAAAATCCGGCCAGATGTCCCGCCGTTCCAAATACGGATTCATCCCGGGGAATGGTTGTCGTATTGCATCACAGCCGCTCACGCATCGGGAGAAACGTGGCCCTCGCCGCCGCCGCGAGACTTGCTAGCCGCCCCGCCGCGCTTGTGCTGCCTCAGGATGCAATCATCCATCACCACGCCCAGCCGGCATCCTGCGCACTCTGCGCCGCCGCCTGGTCTACCACCCCGTCCTGCATCCACACGTAGCGCGCTCCAATCGTGACAGCGTCATCCGTAACGGCCCCAGCAAACTCGCTGCGCCGGAACACGTCCACCAGGTCGATGGCCGCTCCCTCCGCCTGCGCCGCCGCTGATGCCGAAGCCAGGTCGTCGAAGGCCGGTTCGCCCAGCACGGTCGCTCCGTTCAGCGCCGGATCACCGGAATGACCGGTACCCCTGCGACTGCATGTACCTGGACACTCCGTGGCTGTCTCGCGCCGGATTGTCCGACAGGCCGACCACTGCAATGGTCTTCACGTTGTCGAGGATTTCGTCTATGAGGTCCATATTTCGCCCTCGACGCAGGGGCGAATGATCATTCGCCCCCTGCCTGCTCCATTCGTTCGCCGATTTACGGCTGGCCGTGCTGTCACTAGCGGTGATGGTGATGTGCCCCATGTAACGTTCGCCGACGCGCCGTGCCAGTGGTTCTCGCCGGCCTTCACTGGACCACGTCGCCGACGCCCACGTGATGCTCCTCGGTCTCGTTGGCCACGATGCCGTTGCCCACCGTGATACACCAGTATCTGGTCGCTGCTGTGGCGATGCCAACCCGTCTGGGCTCCCGTCTGAAAGTTCACGACGCTGGCATTGAAAAAGTCACTCTCCCCCTCGGGAATGATCGGCTGACGGGTGCGGGTGCACCTCGCCTCCGGTCCAGCCGCGGTACCTGCTCGGCGGGTCCCAGCGGCACGTGCTCCACATTGGCTATTCGTACTACGCGCATGGTCTTGCCTCCTGGTGTTTTTTGTGTCGTTTTGGCGTCAGGCGGAAATGGGTTGCTGCAACTGTTCCAGCCAACTCCACGTCAGTGTCAAACTCCAAGCTCCAATAGCCCGCGCGCGATGCTGTGGGCTACCCTGCGGTCTTCTTCATCGCCGGTAGATAGGAGTTCCCTCACTCCCTCGATGGTCAGGGTACGGTACTCCGGGTCGCGATTGATCCTCGTCGCTCCCCGATTTTCCAGTCGATTGACCTCGGCATGATTCAACCTCGTCACCGGTTTGGTAGTCCTTCCACCGTTCGATGGCCCTGGCGATATCCTCGCGCTGGTCGCTTTTGTCTCCCCCGCCACAACAAGACGATTAACGTTCTGTTATCCCAGGCATAATAGATCCGGTACCCAGGTCCAAAATGCGCTCGCCGTTCCAGCACCCCCCATCGCCTACACTTCGACTGTCCCCTGGGTTACCTTGCTCCATGCGATTGATGATGTGCTGGATACGCAGGCGTACGGGCGGAGAAAGGTCATCCATCCACTCATCAATGGAATGTGGCCCCTGCGGTCCGCGTATGCGCGGATTTCCGGCATATCACCATTCTAGCACCCGGTTCCCATCGTCACCGCCTCGGCGCTGTCACTTACGCGAAGGCGGAGCCGCGCTTACTGCACCTCCGCCGTTCTGTTCTCAGTTTACTTCGCCGGCACCGGAATTCCCGCGACCTTGATCGGCGTGCATGCCCACGGTGTTCCGGCTGGTGAAATACAGCGTCTTCCAGTCGTCCCCGCCGAAGCACAGGTTCGTTCGTCGCCGGCTGACCATGCACCACGATGCCCAGGGTCTCGCCGCCGGCATTCATGATTGCAACCGCCCGCGCCGCCCGCAGTAGACGTTGCCTCGGTGTCCACCTTCATGCCGTCGGCACGCCCTCCCGCTCGCCGCGCATGTCGGCAAACAGGCGTTGGGTGGCCAGCGACACCGTGCCGTCATCCTGCACGTCGAAGGCGCGGATGATGCCACGGCGGGAGTCGTTGACGTACAGCACGGTTTCATCCGGATTGAAGGCCAGCCCGTTCGGCACCAGAAGTCAGCCACCAGCAGGGTCAGCGTCCCCAGGTCGGCCGACAGGCGGTACACGCCGGAGATGGTCTGCTCCCATTGCTCGCGCGGCCGGCGGAAGGTCCACGGATCGGTGAAGTAGATGCTCCCGTCGGACTTGACCACCACGTCGTTGGGCCGGTTCAACTGCCGACCCTGGAACTGGTTGGCCAGCACGGTGGTTGACCCGTCGGCCTCCAGCCGGCTGATCCGCCGCCCGTCGTGCTCCGCGGCGATCAGCCGGCCCTGCTGGTCGCGGGTCAGCCCGTTGTGCCGGTTCACCGGCTCGGCTTCCACGGTTACGCCAGAGCCGGGGGTGTAGCGCATGCGCCGGTTGTTGTGGATGTCGCTGAACAGCAGATACCCGCCGTCGCTCCACCACAGCGGTCCTTCGGCCGGCCCCTCGCCGCCACCGAATCCGGAGCCGTGTTCTTCAATGGGTGCGTCACCGTCGATGATGGCATCCAGAGCGGAAGATAACTTTTCGATGGGCATGGTTGCGCCTCCTGATGTGTCCGGCGTCCGTTCCGGCAAACCGGCGACGCCTGAGAGATTTTGGTGCGTGCTTAGGGTTTGACGAAGAGGTTTAGAACCGTCCGGCTTCCCGCGTTATCTGTTGGACAGTTCCTCTGCGTCGCTGATGTACTGGGCCGTTTCCAGGATGCGTCTTTCGGTGTGCGGCCCGCACATCCCGTTGTAAAAGCAGGAACCGTGCAGGTAACTAATTCGGGTAAAATAACGTCCCCACCAGGGTCTCGGCGTCACGAATTCGACTGGCTAGCTCGAGTAGTCCTTCGGTGGTCATGGCGGTCGTTTCGGGCTCCTCGCCGGTCAGGGCGAGGATGAGCGCGTCAGTGGCGCGCTTGGTGGCACACCAGGCCTTTTCGGCCGCGTCGCGAATATCGCCTTGGCGCAGACGTTCCAGGGCTTGGTCGTGGACTTCTCGCGCGTCTGTGAAAAGCGCGGCGACCCGATCCTGTGCTGGCGCTGTGGTCACGTGTTGGAACCCCCTGCTCGTCGGGGCCTATGTTACCAGTGTGGTGTGGGTTGTTGTATAGGGAGGCGTCGGGCCGGCCATTGCCTTCTACGGCTGGTGTTAGCTTGGCATAAAACCGGAGCCCTTTCGTCTGATCGCCGGCTGGGTATCGCGGCAATACGCGGACGCAAACATTCCCCGGGTCATTTCGCAGCGCCATTGTATGCGCGCCGAACGGGCCGCGCAAACGAACCGGCAAAGCGCTGCCGCACTCTCCAACCATCGGGCCCTGCCCAAGACCAACTCGCATGCGGAGAATCCCGCTCCCAACGATGTTGCGTGATTGACCGTCGCGATAAGATACTCCCAACCGCATACAGTAAAATACCGACCATTGCACACTATCCCGATTGAGACGGCGATAACGTCACACTTGTATTCGGAGAGTATCTCTTGGCCACCACACAACTTAACGAACACATCCGCTACGAGCCGGACGAGCATCCCCCCAACTTGCTGACCATCGGCGCCGGCGTCCAGGCCGCCGCCGTCATCATCGGGGGGATCGTGCTGGGCGTGGCGGTCGTTTTCCGCATCGCCGATCAGCCCGAAACCTACCTTGCCTGGGGCGTCTTCGCCGCGCTGCTCATCAGTGGGGCCACCACCATCCTCCAGGCCGCCCGCGTCTGGCGCATCGGCGCCGGACACATCCTGGTGATGGGCACCTCGGGCGCGTTCTTCGCCGTCTGCGTCGCCGCGCTGGTCCAGGGGGCCGGCCGTCATGGCCAGTCTCGTGGTTGTATCGGCGCTGATTCAGTTCGCCCTGGCGGCGCGGCTCTCCGTCCTGCGCCGCGTGTTCACCCCGGTGGTCTCCGGCACCGTGATCATGCTGATCGCCGCCACCGTCATGCCCATCGTTTTTGACATCCTGGGCAGCGCACCTGAAGGCACCCCGTCCGCCGCACCGCCGGTGGTCGTCGTCGTGACGATAGTCACCATTGCGGCCTTCGTGCTGCGCGCTACCGCCTCGTTGCGGTTGTGGTCGCCCGTGTCGGCATCGTCGTCGGCTGCGCGGTTGCGGCGCCATTTGGCATGTACGACGTGCAATACGTGGAGGACGCTCCGTGGGTCGGCATACCCTTCGGCGCATGGCCCGGGCTCGACTTCACGCCAGGCATCGAATTCTGGGCGCTTTTGCCCGCGTTCATCCTGGTCACCTTGGTGGGAGCCATCGAGACCATTGGCGAAGGCGTCGCCATCCAGCGCGTTTCACGCCGCCGTCCCCAGGCCACCGACTACCGGGTGGTCCAGGGAGCCCTCAACACCGACGGCATAGGCAACCTGCTCTCCGGTCTCGCCGGGACTCTGCCCAACACCACCTACTCCACCAGCATCTCCCTCGCCGAGGTCACCGGCATCGCTGCCCGCCGCGTCGGCATCGTGGTCGGCGTCATCTTCATCGTCCTGGCCTTCTTCCCCAAGGCGACGGCGCTGCTCATCGCAATCCCCGCTCCGGTGGCCCGCCTACGTTGGCGTCCTGATCGCTCTGTTATTCGTGCAGGGCATGCGAATCATCATCCAGGACGGACTCGACCACCGCAAGGCCACCGTCGCCGGCGTCTCCTTCTGGGTCGGCGTCGGGTTCCAGAACGGCGTGATCTTCCCCGACCTGCTCGGCGACGGCTTCCTTGGGGTGCTGCTGGGCAACGGCATGACCGCGGGCGCGATCGTCGCCGTTGCGATGATGGCCTTCATCGAGTTCCAGCAAGTCCCCGCCGTCGCCGCCTGCGTATCGTGATGGACGACGACGCATCCCAGGGGGTGGATGAATTCCTGCGCGGTTTCGCCTCCCGCATCCGGTGGAACGCCGAATCCGCCGACCGCCTGGCCGCCGCCGGAGAGGAGACCCTGGCCATTCTCTCCCAGGAGGACCCCGACGACCTGCCTGACGCCCACGCGACGCCTCACCATCGACGCCCGACGCGAGGGCAACACCGTGGAGCTGGAGTTCGTGTCGGCCCTCGAAGGCGAAAACGTCGAGGACCGTCTCACCTACCTCAGCGCCCTACCCCCGGTCCCCGACGATGGCGAGGTGTCCTTCCGCCTCCTGCGCCACTACGCCTCTTCGGTGCGCCACCAGAAGTACCACGGCCTCGATGTGGTCATGGTCAGCGTGGCCGGAACAGCGTGACGCCATTCACCGCCTTGCCCAGTTTTTGGCTCGTTGCGATAATGGAACACACAAAGTCGTACCTGCACCAGCGTAAGGAGCAATGTATGTGTTGAAAGGATCCTGGTCGCCAGGACACTAATACGATAGGCGGAATACGTCGTTAACGATAAATAAGCACGAGGTATAACTCATGGCTGAAGCGTCCATAAACGATAGCGTTCGATACGAACCGCAGGAAATTCCTCCCAAAGGGGTGACGGTTGGCGCCGGCTTCCAGGGAGCCCTGGTCATGATGAGCGGGACCGTGCTGACCGTGGTGATCGCGTTCCGGATTGCCGCGCAGCCCGCCGACTACATCGCCTGGGGCGTGTTTGCCGCCCTGCTGGTCAGCGGTATGACCACCATCTTGCAGGCCGTGCGGGTCTGGCGAATCGGAGCCGGCCACGTGCTGGTGATGGGCACTTCAGGCACGTTCATAGCGGTCTGCGTGGCGGCGATGGTGCAAGCCGGCCCGGCGCTGATGGCTACCCTGATCGCCGTGTCGTCACTGTTTCAGTTTGTACTCGCCGGACGACTGTCGTTGCTGCGCCGGATTTTCACCCCCGTCGTCTCCGGAACCGTAATCATGCTGGTCGCGGTCGCCGTCATGCCAATTCTGTTCGGCATGCTGACCCAGGTGCCCGAGGGGAGCCCGAGTATTGCGCCCATGGTGGCGGCCACGGTCACCCTGGTCACGACCGTGGCCCTGATCCTCCGTGGCACCCGTCAGTGGCGGCTCTGGTCCCCGGTCATCGGCATCGTCGCGGGATGCGTGGCGGCCGCTCCCTTTGGCATGTACGACGTGCAATATGTGTTGGAAGCCCCCTGGATCGGGGTCCCGTTCCGATCCTGGCCAGGTCTGGACTTGACGCTGGGTCACGAGTTCTGGGCGCTGCTGCCGGCGTTTATCGTCGTCACCATCGTGGGCGCAATCGAGACCATCGGCGACAGCGTCGCCATCCAGCGGGTTTCCCAGCGCCGCCCCCGGGCCACCGACTTTCGAGTGGTGCAGGGCGCCCTCAACGCGGATGGCCTGGGCAACCTCCTTTCCGGCCTCGCCGGTACTATGCCCAATACCACCTATTCGGGAACCATATCTCTGGTGGAGGTCACCGGCATGGCGGCGCGACGGGTGGGAGCCATGATCGGCGTGGTCCTGTTGGCGCTGGCGTTCCTTCCCAAGCTGACCGCACTGCTCATTGCCGTACCCAGCCCGGTCGTGGCCGCGTCGACAACCGTCTTCATCACGCTGCTCTTCGTGCAGGGGATGCGGATAGTCGTCCGCGACGGCCTGGACCACCGCAAGGCCGTCGTCGTCGGCCTGTCCTTCTGGATCGGCGTGGGCTTCCAAAATGGGGTCATCCTCCCTGACCTGTTGGGAGACGGATTCTGGAGTGTTCTGCTGGGCAACGGTATGGCCTCCGGCGCTGTCGTTGCCGTGGCTTTGGCGACCTTCATGGAATTGACCGGCGGCCGGCGCCGCCGCATCCGGCTCACGCTGGATGATCACGCTGCTCAGCGGGTCGAAGACTTCCTGCGCGCCTTTGCGGCAAGGTCGGGTTGGGACTCGGTAGCCACCGACCGCCTGGCCGCCGCCGGCGAAGAGACCCTGGCCATCGTTTCCCAGGCAGACCCCCAGGACCAAGGCGCGCCCCGTCACCTCACCGTGAAGGCGCGCCACGAGTCCGGCAAGATTGATCTGGAGTTCGCCTCGACGCTGCACGGCGAAAACGTCGAGGACCGCCTGATCTACCTCAGCGCGCTGCCTCCGGTGCCCGACGAAGGCGAAGTCGCCTACCGCCTGCTGCGCCACTACGCTTCCGAAGTCCGCCACCAGAAATACCACGGCCTCGACCTCGTAACCGTCAGCGTCGCCGCCACTTGAGCGAGGCTCACTCCTGCTGACCTGTGTCCGATAGGGTCTCGCCCGCGAACTGCCCAATGGACATTCTCACTAATACGTCATAGCCGAAAGGGCTCTCACCTGCTTACCAGAGGTAGGCGACGGAACGTTCAGAGCAACCCAGCCGTCGGCTCTGAACGATCCGCTTGAGTGCGCGATGATGAGCACTTTCACCGATCGCGACGAACAGGAGGGAAGCAGAGAATTCGCCAAAGTCTTGACCGGCATCAACCAAAGCAGCCCAGTAACTGAACATGGCGTCAGCGAAGCGCGGAACGAATACGGTAGCCTGTTCATAAGGGAATTGGTCGCGAGACAGTGTTCCACTAAGTTCGGCGTCGTCTCGTTTTCTGAGGGTCTCTTTAACCCTCTGATGTGGTCGCATTACACGATCGATGGCTCAGGATTTGTGATCGGATATAACACGCGCGAACTGCGAGTGCTCAGCATGGCGCTGGAGCAGACGACGTCCAGCGCCCCGGCCCCCTGACGCCGGGGCGCTGGACGTCGCCGAAAGATGCAGCTGTCCGCCTCGCAGTTTCAGATTTCAGCATCTCCGATGTCGGCTGATTTGAGGCCGTTGTCACCATCGCCGGTTCGAGGGTACGACTTCCCTCCGTCAGGAAGGGGTTGCACACTACCCCAGGTGCTGGCCCGGTGTTCAGTTGCCGTTGGCATTGGCCTCCAGGCTTCTTGCTTCAGTCGCCAGGCTGGCGAAATCGGACACGGAGGTCGATTCCGGGAGAAGCTGCTGCAGGCGGTGGGCCTCATCGGACACGGCTTGGAGGCTACCCTCACGAGCCCAATAGCTGCCGCGAAGCACCTCGGCGAACTCGGCAACGACCGCTGACAGTTGGAACCTCGGAGAAGCCGCTTCGAAGGTGACGGCCAGGTCGCTGTAATGGAACTCCCGGTTGATTTCGACCACCTCGTTGAGCCCGACGTCCTGGTAGCGCATGTGAACCGTCCCCAGGATACCGTCGGCATTTTCGCGGAGTTTCAGCTCATAGAGGGCCGTTACGCTGTGTCCAGCGCCGATTTCGCCCGCGTCCACCGCGTCATTGCGGAAGTCGTCATCGGCCACGTCCCGGTTCTCGTAACCCAGGAGCCGGTAGCGGCTGACGATCTCGGGGTTGAATTCGACCTGCACCTTGGCGTCTTTGGCAATGATTTGGAGGGTCCCGGTGAGGTCGTCGACGAATATGCGGCGGGCCTCCGAGAGGGTGTCAACATAGTAGTAAGCGCCGTCCCCGTCGTTGGCCAACTGTTCCATCAAGATGTCATTGTAGTTGCCCATGCCGAAACCGACGGTGGTAAGGGTCACGCCCTGGTCGACGTATTCCTGTACTTGACGCAGTATCGATTCGTAGCCGGTGTTGCCGACGTTGCCGACTCCGTCGGAGAGAACCATGACGCGGGTGATGCGATTGGGCGCGACCTCGTCCACTGCCAGCTTGTAGGCGACTTTCAGGCCGTCCTCGACGTATGTCGACCCGCCGGGCTGCAGGGAGTCGATGGCCTTCAGGATCGTTCCCCGTTCCCGGACGCCGATGGGTTCGAGCAGCACGGACCCGCGGTCGCCGTAGACGACTATGGCAACTTTGTCGTCAGAGCGGAGCTCGTCCACCAGCAGCCGGAGTGATTGCCTCACGAGACCCAGCCGGTCTTCGCGAGCCATGGAGCCGGAAACGTCGATGGTGAATATCAGCGTGGCGTCCTGCCGCTGCTCCTCCAGGAGCTCTTTCCCCTGCAGTCCGACGCGCATCAGCCAGTGATTGCTGTTGCCGAATGGGGACGGTGAGCCGTCGATGTGAATGGCGAAGGCGTCATCGGTGGGGGCTTCGTAGCCTTGATCGAAGTAATTGACGAACTCCTCTACCCGTACCGAGTTCTGGTCGGGCAGGAAACCGTCGTCAAGGAATTTGCGGGCAATGGTGTATGACGCGGTATCCACGTCGATGGCGAAGGTGGAGAATTGGTCGTCCTCCGTGTCGATAAATGGGTTGACGCCGTAGTGCTGAAAGAAGGTCAGGTCGTAGGCGGCGTCGTTGACGGGGGCTGAGCCGCCGATCGCATTAAACCCCTCGGGCTGGGACGGCTCCGAGGCCGCCATAGCCCGCGTCGCCTGCAAGGGTGCGCTCATTGCAGCGGGCGCAGCAGCGGGGGCTGCCGCCTGCGCTGACGTAGCGGCGGACGCGGCAGAAATGGTTGCCGCCGGCGCGGGCGCATCTGCGGAGCCGCCGCAGGCCATCACGCCCATTAGCAGCACGATTGCCAGTGGAACGATTGCCTTTGAACCGATTGCCTTTGACAGGATTGGGTACATCTCATCGCCTCCTTAGAATTTGGGTGTGGCGACGTGGAGTCTAGGTGTTCACCGGCTGTACACTGAACGACAGATGTGTAACACTCGGCCCGTTTTGAGTAGCAGGATTGTATCTTTTGCCAAATTTCGGCGAACTCCTCACCTCCCACATAGGCCGGTCGGGGTTTAGCGATGCCGACCTGGCCCGGCGCATCGGGGTGAGCCGCGCGACCCTGATCCGCTGGAAGGAAGGCCTCACCGCGAGGCCACGCCATCGCGAGGACGTCCTCCGTTGTGCCGATCTGCTGAGGCTCACGCCAGAGGAACGGGACGAGTTGCTGCTGGCCGCGGAATTCGAGCCGGAAGGAACCCCTGCCGGGGCCTTGCCTGCGGAACCGGTCCTCACTCCGTCGCCCGCTTCGCCGGCCGTATCCGATCCACCCCCGGTTCCCAAGCGCAGACGCTGGAGACTCCGGATAGCCATCTCAGCCGGGGTGGTGGTGGTAGTGTCCGCCATCGTGGCGGCGCTGGGACTGATCGGTTCTTCCGATGTGCCCGACCATCCGGTGGCCGAAACGGGCGAGGCTCTGATCGTGATAGCGCCATTCACCAACTACACCGCCGGGCAGCAGGGGTTCAATATCCGCGGACGCCTCAGGACCAGCATCGACCGTGAGGTTGCCTCTGGCGGACTTGAAGGAATCAGAACCGACGATTGGCTGGAGCCAGTCCCCGGGCATCAGGCGGCATTATGGGCTGCCGAGCAATCGGGTGCAGCGATCGTAATCTGGGGGGAATACGACAGCGGAAGGGTGTTGGCCAACCTGACTTCGACCCCCACCGAGAGCGAGTCCCTGGGCCCGCAGGTTGTGGAAATTGCCACCTCGCCGTCCGAGCTGCCCACTGCCATCAACATCGACCTGACGGCTGAGGTGCGTTCGGTGGCGCTGCTGACCCTGAGCCAAGTGTACCTGCAGCGTGATGAGTATGAATTAGCCAAGACTGTGCTGTTCCAGGCGCTGGAGCACCCGCCTGCGGATCCGGCCGCCCTGGCCAATCTGCGCTACCGGTTGGGCCAAGCTTACCTGGGCGGCGACTACGCCGACCTGGACGAGGCCATTTGGCGGTTCACCGAGGTGTTGTCGGTGCAGCCACGTTCCGCCGACACCCATAGCAGTCGCGGCCTGGCCTACCTGGAACGTGGCCGACCGGGCGATGAGGACCTGGCCATCGCCGACCTCAGCCGGTCGTCGGAACTGGCTCCCCACCTGCCCGCTCCGTACTTCAACCGGGCCGTGGCCTACATCGCGAGGGGTCAGCCCGGAGACTTGGACCGGGCGCTCCAGGACCTGGAAAGCGCCATTGCCGCCGGCGCGGCGGGAGCGGGCGTTTTTGTAAACCGGTCAGCGGTGTACCTGGAACGGAGTCACGATGGCGACCTTGACTTGGCCTTCGAGGACCTGGAACGCGCGATCGGTATAGACCCAAACCTGGCGACGGCCTGGGTGAACCGGGGCAATGCCCGGTTGCAGAGGGGTAACGACAAGGACGTGGAACAGGCCATAGCCGACTTCACGAAAGCTGTCGATAATCGCACCGGACAACGCGATCGGGTATTACAACCGGGCCCTGGTGTACTCGGAGACAGAGGAATGGGAGTTCTCAAACTCTGATTTGCGTGCGGCGCAGCAACGGGATCCCCGGGATCCGGTGATCAACAACACGCTGTGTTGGCAACTGGGAGTACAGCGCCGGCCCGAGGTGGCTCTTCCCTTCTGTAAACTGGCGTTGGAGCGTGAGCCGCACGGGCCGGCACGGGACAGTCGCGGGCTGGTCTACGGCGTGATGGGTGCGGCAGACGAGGCCCGTCGCGGACTTCAGGGTCTTTCTGGACTGGGTGGAAGCTTCAGCGAAACCAACCTGCCGTCCCTACTACCGCCCCAGCCGGGAGGCGTGGGTCGGCGCGCTGGAATCGGGCGGCAACCCGTTTGACGACGAAACACTTCGGGAACTGCGGGTGCGCCCCGTCCCACCGGGGGGAACTCCCTGCTGATCTTTGCGACGGATATCCACCCTCAAATCGCCGTCGTGATGCCATCCTCAATCCACGACCTCCGCCTCGGGCATGCGGTAGCCCACTCTGGGTTCGGTGAAGATATACCTTGGGCTGTCGGCGTCGTCGCCCAGCTTACGCCGGAGACGGCGCATGTGAGTTCGAACCACCTGGGGATCGCCGGAATGGGTAACGCGCCAAACGCGCCGCAGCAACTGCTCGTGGGTCAGCGGGCGCCCGCCATTCAGCGACAGTACGCGCAGCATTTCGTATTCGATGGGCGTCAGATGGACGGGCTGATCGGCAATCTCCACTCTGCGCTGGGCATAGTCGATGACCAGGTCACCCAGGGCAAATGGCGCCGCCGTATCGCCCAGGTCGGCCGCGGCCGTCCGGCGAAGCGCGGCTCTGATCCGCGCCGTTAGCTCCGTAGGCGAGAAAGGCTGACCAGGTAATCCGAGGCTCCAAGGTCAAGGCCCCGCTCAATGTCCTGGGCTCTCCCCGGGGCGGAAGGCAGATCACCGGCACGTCGCCGATGTCGAGGATGTTCTGCATCAGCTCAAAACCGTCGACACCTGGCAGCGCCAAGTTCAGGAGGGCGAGTTGGGGGTTTCCGACTCCACCAGGTGAAGCGCCTCATCGGGGCCCGTGGCAAATATCGTCAGGTAACGGTCTTTAGCGAGGATGTCGCGCACGTGTCTCAACGTCTGGGGATCATCGTCCACGACGAGAACGCGCCCCGCATCAATGTCGCGGGGATGCGACCGGCTGTCCGGTCGGTCCGAATTGGTGGGCTCTGCCTGGATGGACCGCTCAGCCACCGGTATCGTGAACGTGAACCGAATGCCGCTATCGAGACCGTCGCTTTCCGCCCAGATTCTCTGCCGCCGTGGGCCTCGACTATTCCCTGCAGATGGACAGTCCCAATCCGAACCCAGCAACCTCTCGTTCGACTACGTTGCCATCGATACCGGAATATTTCCGGAACAGATTGGGTAGTTGGTCTGGCGGCAGTCCCCACCCTTCGGCCACCACGGAAACCGCTACGTATAAACCTTCGTGCTGGGCTGTCACTCCGATGACCGATGACACCGGCGCGTATCTGGATGCGTTAGACAACAGGTTGTTGATGACCTGAGTTATGCGAGCCCGGTCTGCCATCACGGCGGAAGATCCGCCGGCGCATCCACCCGGAGTCCGCTGCGGCCCCCCTCCTCTGACAAACGAAGTTCTGGCCTGATCCACCAGAGCCACAACTTCAGAGGGTTCGAGACTCACCGAAAGGGTGCCGCTCTCGATCTGAGCGGCATCTAGCAGGTCGGTGATCATCGCGCGCATCCGGTCGGCCTGGTCATTGATGATCGTGTGGAACTGGCGGGTCTCCGCGGGGTTCAGGTTCGCGGACTCGTCAGCAGGGTTGCGGCCGAACCCTTGATGGAGGTGAGCGGGGTCCGCAGTTCATAACTTACCAAACCCAGGAATTCTGCCCCGCAGCCTTTCCAGGTCTTCCAACGGCGTCATGTCCTGGAGTGTCACAACCACCGACTCCATCTCGCTGCCATCCTCCGAATAGATGGAGGTAGCGTTGACCCAGCACCGTCACCGACCTGCCGTCAGGCGCCTTGAGCACGACTTCCTCGGCGCGTAGCGCGGTGTAGGTCCTTAACCGGTGAGCCAGCGGGAACTCTTCCAGCGAGATCTCACGTCCGTCCATCCGCCGGATGCTCAAACGTCCATCATTCGCTCGACCGGTTGGTCCGGCGGCCGGAGCCCCTCAACGATCCTCAGTGTCTCGCGGTTGTACGACACTGGAACGTCCCGATTTGGCGTCGAAGACCACAACCCCCACCGGGCATGTGTCTATCAGTGCTTCAAGGTCTGACCTCGCCCGCTGCTCGTCCCCGGAACCTCCTGGCGTTGCGATGACCAGCGCCGCCTGGGACGCGAACATCACCAGAATGTCCTCGTCCTGGCGCGTGAACTCGCTGCCCCTTTCACCCTTCGTCACGTAGATGGAACCCATCCGCACGCCTTTGTTGCGGATGGGAGCCACCAGCAGGGCAGCGACGGCCGACGGGAGGACTCCAGTCCGCCATGTCCAGCGACCCGCAGGTACGCGGGCAAAATCGTGATGCGGATCGGACCGGACACATCGTTGAGGTATCTGAAGAACTGCGCGCTCCCCGGCAATCTGCCAGATGACGGTGTTGATCCGGCGTCAGGCCCGAGGTCACGAACTCTCCAGCCCGTTGGACGCGTCGAGGACCGTCGTTGCGCGCGTACCTCGCGCCCGTCAGCGTGCGGGCGCTGTTGGTCACCTCTTCGAGCACGCCGTGATAGTCCAGATCCTCGTTGATGCGCAGGCTTGCCTCGCTCAGCTCGTGTCAAGCGGTGCTGCAACGCCTGCATCCCGGGTGTCGTCCGATCGTCTGTGGTGGTCAAGCTTACCTCCGGTCGATTCTTGCCAGCGCAATCGGTCTGGCCCTTCCAAACCAGGTCGGGACGCTATGAACCGTGCCTTACAAACTGTCATGCAACCGTCATAACTATACCTGGAACCGTCATGGCTATGTCAGATCATTGACCCTACCATTTGATTAACCAAACACTCAACCATAACGACACAGCCGATTGACCGGATGGTTCCGGCGCCGCGTCGCAACGCGAGGTTGAGCCCAAGGAGACAGACCAATGAACGATTGCGCTGATTGCATGAGCGGCGTGCAGCGCCTACAACGAGGAACTCACGGCGTTGGGAATGACATGCCGGGCTTCATGGAACGGGGGTGAGGTGATCGCCTCCCTGCCCAGCCTGTCGCTGCTCACCCTGGCGGGGATGACGCCAAAATGACTTTGAGGTCGAGTACCCACCAGGTGCCTGACATGCAGGAAGCTGGACCGGCTGCCGGACTGCGACCTGGCCGCCCATCTCGACGTTCACCGCCCAGGTCAAGGAGGCCTACGCCCTGGCCGACCGGTACGCGCGGCCGGCGTCAAAACGGTCATCGGCGGGTCACCACGCCACGGCGCTGCCGCAAGAGGCGCTGCTACACTGCGATGCGGTCGTGGTTGGCGAGGCCGAATTGACCTGGCCGCGAGTGCTGGAGGACTTTCGGACCGGCTGCCTGGGCGGCATCTACCGTACCGGCGGGCAGGAGTTCGATCTTGCCGACTCTCCCTGCCCCGGTTCGACCTGCTGAACCCCGACGAATACAACCGGATTACCCGTCCAAACCCAACGGGGGTGCCCGTGGCGGTGCAACTCTGCGCCAGCTCGATCATGATGACCAAGCGGTACAAGCTGAAGCCGGTGGAAAACGTGATCCGCGAGATCCGGGCGATCAAGGACATCTGGCCGAGACCATTCATCGAATTCGCCGATGACAATCATTCGTCAACCGTTCCCATTCCAAAAAGTTGCTGCGGGCCCTGGCGGACGAGTGGGCATCAAGTGGTTCACCGAGACCGATGTTGCCGTGGCCGACAATCCGAACTGCTTGACCTGATGCGCCAATCGGGTTGCGCGGAAGTCCTGATCGGGTTCGAACAGCCCCACGGCCGGAAGCTGGACGGGGTCGAACTCAACAACAACTGGAAGCGCAGGCGTCTCGATGATTATCGGGAGCGATCCGCCGCATTCAGTCCCACGGGAAATCGCGGTCAACGGCTGCTTCGTACTGGGGAGGACGGCGATACGGTGGACTGTTTCCCGCAGTTCGCGACTTTGTCGCACGACAGTGGACTGTGCGAAGTCCAGATCACCGTCATGACCCCCTTCCCCGGGGACCCCGCTATACGCCAGCCTCGCCGGGGAAGGCAGGATGTTGGACGCCACCGGCTGGGAGAAGTGCACGTTGTTCGACGTCAACTTCCAACCCAACCAGATGTCGGTGGAGGACCTGGAACACGGCCTCATCGAATTGGCGAAGCAGGCTATACACGACGAGGCAAAACCGGCCGCAGGAACGCCTTTCGCGATCCACGTCCGCGCCCGCTCGGCAGCGCCCGCGTGATAATGGAGACGACACCATGGCTGGCCAAACGTAGCCTGACCAACTGGAAACCGGGATGATGGGCGACGCGATGGACTTCGCGACCAATGCAGACGTCGGTGGAGATGACGCGGAACTCCCGTTTCGGCATCACGCGTCATCAGACTGGCGGACCACCAGCGTGGTTGCGCGGGTTTGATCTGGGGCTTCCAGGCTGCGACCTGAACGCGCCAGCATTCGTAGGCATCTGCCTGGGCGGCGGGATGGGCGTCGATGCCGGTTTCTGCTGATGGTCAGGCTTGCGCTGGCCGATGGCGCGTTACGGATGGCGTCCCCTCTACCTGGCGGTTTCGGACTAGATCGCATTGCCTGACGGCGCTGCCGTAGGACGGGGAGCCGCCAGGGTTGGTTGGCTGATGACCACGGCGGGTGTGCTCATGGGCGGAGTCCTGGGTCTCTGGTCTGGTTCGATTGGCTCCGGTGCCGCGGTTCCTGGACGATCCCTTTGGGCCGGGTCGGTGACCCTGGTGTGCAATCCATATCGCACTAATCGTTGTGGGCTGGCACTGATCGGTTGAGTGCTTTGGCCTAATTGTGACCACAGATCGACGACGTTGTCCGCGTCAACCCGGCATCTGGCCTTGCCATGAAAACGGCTTTGATGACGATCAGCGTTGGAGACACCTTGCCGGCCAGAGTCGTGTGACGACCGGTGTGTTCGTTTGATTGCGAGGCAACCAGCGCCGCACGGAAACCGCTCAACCCTGTGGGGGATGACACCACGGACCGGGATATCAGACTCCACCCAGTCCGACAGGGTGGTACGGGTGATGATCTACTTGCGGTGTGGTCCCTGTGGGCGCCGATCCTTGGTTGACGGTGATGGCGCTGGAGAGCGGTTCCAATCTGATCGATCAGCACCCAGCGAACTTGGTATTTCGAGGGCGACTGTTGATACGTACCGTCGCAGTGTTGAGGCAGCCGCTATGCCCAAATCCACGATGCGAGTGGTGGGGCTGGAGCGGGACATGAGAGGATGGAGACGGATGGCCACAGTCTGATTTCGGCGAGATGGCGCCGCGTAGTGGGACGTGGTCGAGGGCGGTAGAGAAGGAAAAGCCGCGCATGAGTGGCGCAAGGGCAGCAAGTAACCCTCGCTGTCCCAGAGCGCGCGGACGAGAGTGGAGAGACCTGTGATCGACTGCCCGCCCACCGGCACTGACGGAGTGAGGGTGGCGTGGCGGGCGCCGATGCGCGCGCGCGTCAGGCCGGAGGGCAGAGCGCGACTCGGCCAGGCGCGAGGCGTGAACGGGTTTCCCAGGGCCAGCGCTGCGGAAGAAGATGCAGGCGAGGCGGCGGCGCGAGCGGGTGAGGGTCCGGCCAGGAAGAAGAGCGTCGTCGGAGGGTCTTGGCGGTAACCACCTGCTCACCCAGGCCGATGCGCGCCGTCCAGCGAGCCAGGTTGGGGCGATGAGCTGCACCGCCAGCCAGGCGGCCGTTGGCGGCGAAGTGTCCCCGAGGGGAGGTGGTTGAGGCCCACGCCGCACTTCAGGCGCGGGTGGCGTTCTCGATCTCGGCGTGGCGGCGATGGTCGGCCTCCAGCTCCAGAGTGTCGCCCCGTCGGTGATGATGAAGGCGTGATAGCTGTAGGTGGCAAACAAGGCCAGTTGAGATCGGCGTGGCCTCTCCCGCCGCACGTTGGCCGCACCGACGCGGCGTCGTGCTTACTCCGAAGGGAACGTAGGTGGTTCGGCACGTCGGAGCCGCGCCATCCAGTAGGGTATGGGCGTCAGTCCGCCTCCGGTATCGCCTCGAGAGATTGCGCAGGGTCTGATGTTGGCGGACGGTGATGGAAGTCAGCGGACGTTAGTCTTCGGCAGGTGGGTGACCAAGGCCGTGGTTTATAGAAGCCGGTGTCGGCGCGCATGTGAGTTGTTCGGCGGCGGCCCAGCGTAGCGCACCCGTCCCACCGTCTCACGCCGAAGTGGGCGGCGCCCGAGTGGTGTTGGCGCGACCTTCCCTGAGCCGGGCCATCGGCCACGTCGCCGGTTCCGGCAGCAATGGCCAGCAGCGGGTGATAGCCCCGCTGGCCGGTGTTAGCGTCGTGGCGCGCCCCTTCCTTGCCCGGTCCGTAGGTCTCGCAGATGGTGGAGTCCAGGTTGGTTGATGGTAACTCCCGTCGCCGGGGTCCCGCTCCGGCACCCCCACGCCCGGGCAAACAACTCTCGGCTCACCCGATCCAGCTGGCGAGACGTGTGGCCCCAACGGAAGCTGCGTTAGAAATGTGCCCAGGGTGGATGGCGCCTTCACCACGCAGCCAGCACCCGCGCGGTCCTGCCAGCACGCCAACACGTCGGCGTCGTCAATGCCGAAGACGATTTGGATGCGGTCGGGGTCGCTGCGTTGGGAGCCTGTTAGGTGCTCCTGGTCTGGGGACGGTTGGTGTTTCAACAACCATATCCCTGGAAGCGGGAGCACTTTCTTATCCCTCGCACACCGCCACACCATCTCTTCGGTGGATTGAGGTTAGGTACTCGACTGTCGCAATCTTTCTGGCCAGCGTCAATGGTGCAATACGCCGCTTTGGAGTTGACCCCGCGAGTGCTCTCGTCTCAGGGCTACGGTAGATAGCCCGGACTGTGACGAAACGGCAATTCCGGTTGCGTCGCTTTCCTGACTGGGCAGGACACCACAGATACGAACTAACAATGAAAAGTCGGGACTGTGTTTGTGCGTGGGATCCTAACTTTGGACGTAGGCCCATGACCATGGTCAGCGGACCTACATTCCAGCAGTTAGAATGCTGCTGGACGTTCTGATGATAGGGTGACGCAAATAATTTGCAACCGATATGATAATTGGCCCCAGCGGCCGGATGTCCCTTGGTGACGAATACGGTAGTGACGGCGCTGGCCGCGGCGATTCCGGTGCCTGCGAGAGATTCGAGGAAAAACGGATGAACCGGTCGGTTTGCAAGAATAGGACGGTTGCTCCCAGCGATTGGACTAATCGCCGTGATGCTGTTGGTGGTGACGAGCTGTGATTCTCAGCCGCCCTCTCCGCCAACCCCAACGTCGACCGGTGTACCTATCGCGGCCGCCACCCTGATGCCGATCTGAAACGACGCCGGGTCCCAACGCCAACTACGGCCATCGCTCCGACGGATACACCCGTGCGTACCCTCGCACCAGAACCGACTGCTACGCTGGCACCGACGAATACTCCGACACCGACCAATACTCGGTCTCCCGACGGCCACGCCGACGTTTGTGTGCCGACCGCGACTCCCCGTCCGCCGCCACATGACACCAATGGAGGAGGGACCGAGCGATATTGATCGCGCTCTACGAGGCAACGGACGGTGCCACTGTACTAACAACACAACTGGCTCACCGACGCGCCATCGGGGAGTGGCACGGCGTTACACCACCGGAGCGATAGCCGGGTTTCGGGGATTGTTTAGGCCAAACAAGGGTTGACGGGTAATTACTACCGGCCGAATTGGGCGGTTTAAGCGAGTTTTGACCAACCTGAGCCTTTGGCAAACCAGTTGACAGGGGCCGGTCCCGCCTGAACTGAGCGATCTTTCCGACCTGGAGCGCCTGTGACCTGGCGGCAATGACCTGACCGGTGGCTTTTCCTGCTTGGCGGCCATCTTTCGGGCCTTACCAACCTACTATGGGGGAACGAACTGTCCGGGCCAATACCCTCCGTCCTCGGGTCGTCTGCAAATCTCCGAACCCTGGATAGCAGGACAAACCAGCTGACCGCACGATACCGCCCAGCCTGGCCAACCTCTCAGACCTTGAAAACCTGCTCCTGAACGACAACCAATTGTCTGGATCAGATACCCGATTGGCCTCACCGGCCCTGACGAAGTTGGAACGACTGCAACTTGCCGGCAACGCCTTGACCGGCTGCATACCGCCTGCTCTGCAAACGTCGCGACCAACGACCTGGCCGAGCTCGACCTTCCGTCCTGTGACGCTGACACCGTGTCGTCCGTCCCTGCCCGATGGTTCCGGTGTCCTGACCTTCGACGACCCCGATGTGCCCCATCTGAAGTGGGAAGGTTAGCCCTGAGGTTCTCGAGGAGTATTACCAGTATGCCACCGCGCGCCGGAATTGTCTATCTTCGCACCGGTATGCGGCCCCGTTGGCCTGCCCCCATGTGCCGGATGAACTCAAACCTTTTATCTTACAACACCTCGACTTGGCGGCCAGACATTTTGCGCGGCTGAGAACAGGAGCGTTGAAAAGTGCCGGAGTGCTTTCGTCGATGACTCGTGGGGAGGATTGGCGGGCCTGGAAGATGTGGATTCGGGTGGACTATGCTCAATCTGCCCTCCCTGCCCAGACGGTCAGCCCAGAGGTTTTATGAAAGTCGCCGCCCACGAGCTGTTCACACGTGTATCAATATACGTTGCAGGGATACGGCAGGTTCTCCTTTAACCCACTCAGAAGTGCGGGTTATTGGTCCGGCCTGGATGCAGGAAGGAGTTTGCGAATTCCAAGCGATAGCGCGTTGGCAAAAGGGGGCATCTGGCCTTACGCGCAAAGTCACCAGCGTTACGCCAACGAGGCGCGTGAGGTGGATGTTTCCCTCCGGAGATGGAAACCTACAACGTGCTGCTCGACGGACCCGGCCGGTTCGCACTGGCTACGATGGAGCGGAGTTCCTTGCAGCGAAGGCTGGCGAAGAAGCGTTTGATTGACTTCTGGACACTGCTGGGGCCCGGCAACACCTGGCAAGAGGCATTTTAACACACCGCGTTCGGCATGACCATCGACGATTTCTATTCGTTGGTTGAAGAGCATCGCGCTGCCGGGTTCCCCGCACCGGATTTGCCGGGCGCCGTGCCGCGTTTTTCCTTTATCGGAGACGGACCGAGCCGCGTTGACGGCTCTGTACAACGCCACCGGTGGCGCAAAACTGGGCAAACAGCGACACTGGTTGAGCGACGAGACCGGGAACCAGTGGCATGGTGTAAACAATCTCACTCTGACGGCGCCAACGTCACTCTACTCGGCTGGACCTCCAGAAAACCGTTGCATGGACGTATTCCAGCGGAGGTGGGCAGCCTCGTCGATTTTGGAAGGCTGATCTATCGACATGGATTGACGGGAGATATTCCGAATGAATTGAGGCAACCTCGCCGGCTTACGCAAACTGGAACTCGCCAACAACCGTCTCGACGGGCGCCATACCAGCCAGCCTGGGCAACCTGTCCAGCCTCACCAACCTGGGTCTCGACCACAATCGACTCACCGGGACCATTCCCTCGGCTCTGGGCAGCTTGTCCAACCTGAACGGTCTCTGGCTACAAGGCAACGAACTTAGTGGCGAAATACCCGCCAGCTTGGGCAATCTTAGCAATCTGACGCGTCTGTCCCTCGCCCGTAACCAACTATCCGGACCAATACCGCCCCAACTGGGCAATCTATCCAAGCTGGAACTCATCCGACTTGCCGAAAACGCGTTCACTGGCTGCGTGCCAGTCGCCCCTGCAAAATGTTGCCAACAACGACCTCGTCAACCTTGGCCTTCCTTTCTGCTGATTTGGCATCGTGTAGCTAAACACACCTGAGAGATTAGGGGAAAGGTGATGACCATCTTCAAAGTGATCATCTTATTGTTGGTCCCGATGGCGTTTGGTGGCCATCAACTGCGGGCCCCATCGTGGCCACCTCGCCTACCCCTCACCCCATCTATCGAATCAGGCCGACTGTTCCGCCTTCTCGCACCCATTATCCCTAGGGGGGTGTCCTCAAAAGAGTTTGCTCCAGATCACCACTGCCCCCGGAGTTGGCAAAATGGCCAGGTACAAACCCTCCGCCCTCACTTTGGCATACGGGTCGCCACTCCGCGCCACTGCTTGAAGTCCAAAAATCCGTTCTCCCCACCAAGTGCCGCAACTTGTACAGTGCCGGTCGTATTCCCCTTTCCCCTCCGTTTGCTTTTGGGCCGGTATCACCGGGTTCAAATTCCCCAATCCCCCGATCGGTGGCTATGATTTCATTGGTGTCATAAGCTTGTCCGCCCAGCAGACACCCCACTCCCGCCTCTATACCCTCTTCAGGGCAACGCCAAAGAGCAGTCGGCCACCTTGCCTCCAGTAACCGCCACCCTTAACCGGCATTCCCCGTGGCGCCACCGCCATGTGCAACTTGCTTGCCCCCTTTTGGTGCGGGAAATACCTGGATTTCCGCCCCGAGCGCCGCACTGTGGGATGGGCCTTAAATGTAGCTGGCGTCTATCATCAGCCACTCGAAATCAGGGTCATCCATCACTTTCCATCCACAGTCCCGGTCCCACACAACCCCCGGTCCCGCCAGCGGCAGAAGCGGCAGGTGGGTGTTCTTCCAGTCTCCGTAGTCCCGGGGGCAAATCCGCGCCCAAGGAGCGCCGGTGCGCAGAACCAGCAAACGGCGTCGAATAAACCGCCGGTTGTCATGGGCCGGCCGACCTCTCTTGCCTTCTCCCTTCTCCCCCGGCAGGTACAAGCCCTCACAGCCGCTCCCCAACAACCGTCTGTCATATCGTGGCGCCGTGCGCTTCCGTCATACTCCCACCTTCCAACACTCTCCCGGTTACCGGCAATTACCCACCCTCTCACTGTTTTGACGACACCCCCTAGTTGCAACACCAGGACCGCATCCCTTCGGTGGATCCGGGCTTACGCTCGGTCGTCGGGTTAGACGGATGCAAGCAGCCTTTCCCCATCCGCCGCGGTTCATCCATAGGGTGATTAACGACAATAAGGAATGCCGGCCTGTTGCCTCATTCAGAAATGTTACCGAAAATCTAACACTTGGGATCCGCTCCGGACGGGTCCAGTTCCGGCAGTCCAGCTGCTTCCGTTGAGCTTGCTTTGGACGAAGCATAAACGAGATTTTTGGCCATGATGCCCTGCCACTCTTTCTCCCGGCGTTGCATGGTTCGCGACTGAGCCGCGGTGAAACGGTGCGGATGTTTCGACTGCAACCGCGCCATCAGCGCCTTGCCAGTGGCATCCGGTTCGGCCCGCAACCAGACCAGCACGTCGCTCCAAACGCCTTCGAAGGGGTCCTGGCGGGTACGCCAATGCCGCGGACTCCGCACTCGCGCGGCGTGGGCGGGACGGGTTTCGCCCTGCCGCCACAGATTGGGCAACTTGGCGAGGAAAAGTTCGAGGCTTTTTCCCGATGGCGTTTCCCGCACGCCCGGAGACGTGGTTGCCACCAGGGCTGACTGGGCTTCACGGGCTGACTGGGCTTGACGGATAGTGTGCAGCAAGAACACCGAGTCCAGCCCAGCCCGATATTCATTTCAGCACGGCTTTCAGCTCAGGGCCGGTTGTAGCATACTGGATCAGCCGATCACAAGGCGGGGCGGGCTGACTGTAGTGTTTGACGGTGGTGGCGCGGTCCCGGGTCTTGTCAATCAGCTTGAATGACGGCTGGAAGCAGTTCACGTACCGACGCAGCTCCCCGTAGAGATAGGCCATGTGTCGATTTACAGGGTGATTAGGCCAGCCACCTCTCCCGAATACCGGTCATGGCCGACGAAGCGTCGCATCACGGAACCGTTCTTCTGCTCAATCCACGCCTGGTCGTTGCTGCGGTACGCTCTGGAACGGGTGAACTCGATGCCTCGATCGGCGCAGTACTGGATCAGCGTTTCGTTGATGAACACGCTGTCGTTGTCGGAGTCAATGCCGAGGATGGGAAAGGGTAGTTATTGATCGATGGCTTCCAACCCGGCCACCACCAGGGACTGCTCCCTGGCCAGGAGAGGCACGGCCCTGATTGTTCATGGTCAGGCCAGCCGGTGCAGATGTCGGTGGCCACCAGGCTGTGGATGAATGATCCCGACAGCGGGCCACCACAGTGCGCCACCGAGTCAATCTCCAGATATCCCGGCGGTGGTCGGTTCCAATCATTGTAGGTCCGCACCGGCACGCGCTTGCTCATCGACTGCCGTCGCCGCCGTCTGCGCCGGCTGCCCGCCGTGGGACGAATGGGCTGCAGCAGCCGGTCCAACGTAGCCGCGCTGGCGGACAGCAATCGTGCCCGCACCAGAGGATCCAGATCGAGGTGCCCATTACGCTCCATGGATTCCACCAGATAGGGCAGGACCGCCTTCAGGCGCTTCCCGCAGATGCGATCGGCGGCCTCCCAGATTACGATCACCGCCTCGCGTACCGCTTCATCATAGATGTGTCGGCCCTTGATCATTGACGGTTTCTCCCCAGCGTCGCCGGACTGTCCCAGCAACCGGATGCCGTGCTTGCGGTGATGGCCGGTTACGGCGATGAACTCATCGAGGATCCGGCCCTTGTCCTTCTTGGACGACGCCAGGTAACGGTCTCGGATCGTTGCCAGCAATTCACGCTTTGCCATCTTGCTAATACCTCCACCCACGTGGGGTAAAGGTCGGAGAGAAAATGTACCGCGTGGGCGGCCCGATCGTGTCAACGGTCAGCGAAAAGGTCCGCACTAACTGGTCAGCATAAATGTCACACTCCCTTTATGGAGAATGTGACGTTGAACCAGAAAGAACAAGTAAGACTCAAGGTTCTGAACCGCCTGTGGGCAGAGCAGATGACTGTGGACCAGGCAGCCACAGTGATGGGAGTGAGCACGCGCCACACCAGACGTATCCTGGCGGCGTACCGGAGGGAGGGTGCCGCCGCCCTGGCTCACGGCCATCGTGGTCGTCGGCCGCCCAACGCAACACCGGAGACAACCAAAGCCGAGGTATTACACCTGGCCAGCACCCGCTACTTGGGAACCAACCACACCCACCTGAGCGAATTGCTTGGAGAGCGCGAGGGTATCGACATCGACCGCAGTACGCTACGGCGCATACTGGTATCCGCTGGGTTGAACAGCCCGCGCCGTCGCCGTACGCCGCAACATCGGGTGCGTCGCCAGCGAATGCCGCAGGCCGGGATGCTGATCCAGCTGGACGGCAGCTTTCACCGATGGTTGGGGGAGGCGGGACCGCAGTTCACGCTGCTGTTGGCGGTGGATGACGCCACCGGCGCCGTGGTGAACGCCCTCTTCTGCGAGCGGGAAGACGCACGCAACTATTTCGTGATGATGCGGGAGCTGGTGCAGAGCTACGGCGCGCCGGTTGCCCTCTACGTCGACCGGCACGCCGTCTTCAAGCACACGCCCGGGTCTGGGCTCGCCGGTGCGCCAACCCAGTTCAGCCGCGCCATGGATGAGCTGGGGATCCAGCTGATATTCGCACTGTCGCCCCAGGCGAAGGGTCGCGTGGAACGAACGGCGGGAACGTTTCAGGACCGGCTGGTGACTGAACTCCGACTGGCTGGCGCGGCCACTATCGCGGACGCTGACCACGTGCTGCAGGGCTTCCTGCCACGCTTCAACGCACGCTTCGGCGTTCCGCCGCAATGTCCCGAGGCCGCTTACCGCCCACTGGCATCGGACGTGTGCCTGGACCGGATCCTCTGCTTCAAGCACATTAGGAAGGTGGCCCGGGACAACACGGTGAAGTTCCAGTTGCACACCCTGCAGTTGCTGCCCGAGCCGGAATGCCCCAGCTATGCCGGGGTCGCTGTGGAGGTCCTGGAAGGACTGGATGGTCGTCTATCCCTGCAACACCAGGGACGCACCATCCCTGCTCAAGAGGCGCCGCCCAATCCGGTATTCATGCGAACCGGTAACGGATCATCCCCACACCTTGCCAGGCACCGTTCCGGTCCTGGCCATCCGGACGGGTCCTGGGCGACGACCCTCTCCCAACTCGACACCAATTGTGCCGAAGAAACCGCGCCTGACCCGATTGCTGACCATGGGACCGCAGCCGGCAAGGTGGTAGCCATTCCGCCTCGGAAGGCGACGTTTCTCCAGAAGGTGCGGTGGAAGGCCATACAGAAGGCGAAGCGCAACGGCATGTCCATCCGAGGAATAGCGCGGGAGTTGGGGATCAACCGGGCCACGGTCAGGAAGTACATCGACGCGGATAATCCACCGACGCGGCAAGTCCGCAGCGCGGCAACTACGCCACCACCTGATACCATGGCGGCATAACCGAGTGACATTTATCCTGAACACTTAGAGCCTATCCTAAAAACTGGTGGAAGTTTGCCGGCGCATGGCAAGAACGTAATCTGGTGTTCGGCTAGGCTGGGGCAATGACCAAAGCGAAGGATCCCAAGCCGCCGCGTCCGAAGCGTGCCGGCCCAGCCACCCCAGCCAATGCCACCACCGGCTCTTTTCAGGTATCCGACGAGCTTTGGGAGGTGTTGGCTCCCCTGATCCCCAAACGTGTGAACACCCATCGTTTCGGCGGCGGCCGGCCCAGAGTACCGGACCGGACCTGTGCCAACGGCATCTGCTACGTGCTGCGCACCGGCTGCCAGTGGAAGGCCTTGGACGCCACCGGCATCTGCGCTTTCAGGAGTGGGTTGCCGCTGGGGTGTTCCGGGAACTGTGGCGGGTGGGTCTGGAACGTTACGACGAACTGCAAGGGTTGGACTGGAGTTGGCTGAGTATGGACGGGGCCATGACCAAAGCTCCTTGGGTGGGGGGAAAAAACCGGCCGCAATCCCACCGACCGAGGTAAGATTGGGGGTCAAGCGTAGCCGGTTGACTGAAGCCCCGGGGGTTCCGGTGGGCCTGGTGGTGGACGGGGCCAACCGCCACGACATGAAGCTGGTGCGGGCCACGGTGGACAGCGTGGCGGTGCCCCGACCGACGCCCACTCCGGAGCATCCCCAAGGGCTGTGCCTGGACAAGGGCTACGACTTCGCCGCGGTACGCCGCACTCTGGACGAGTTCGGCTTCACCACCCACATCCGCAGCCGGGGCGAAGAGGCTCAGGCCATCAAAAGGGAGGCTGGGTTCAAAGCCCGCCGCTGGGTGGTGGAACGCACGCACAGTTGGCTGAACCGTTTCCGGCGCATCCTGGTCCGTTGGGACAAATCCCCGGACAACTACATCGCCTTTCTTCATTTCGCCTGCGCCCTCATCGCCCTCAGAGCCGCCGGGTCATTAGGATAGGCTCTAATGGAGGTATCGGTAAAGAAGTAATACCGGCCCCACGCGACCCATACTCCCCCAAAGCTGAGCACGCGGGCCGGAAGCATTCCCAGCCCTGCGCGCCCAGCGATTGTGAAGATGGTCGCCCTCAAGCTAACTTACGGCCGGAGCCGAAGCCATCCGGATATTCTCTGACGCTCTCCTGACCTTATTGAGTGAGGTTAGGAGCGTACTCGAACGCGGTCAGGTCCCGCGTTTCGGAATAGTTCAGGTGCTCGGTCCATGGTTCCGTGCCCGTGTCCCCGTTCAGGGCAAACACCTGGTTCTGGGCATAGAGGCCGACAGACAGGGCGTTGTCGTACATGAACTTCGCAGCTTCCGCCATGATCTCGTACCGCGTTGCGTTGTCAACGGTGCCCTGGGCTTCCGCCATCAAATCCCGAAGGACCGGGTGGTCTACGCCGAAGTTCCAGGCCGTATCGTGGTTGAAGGCACTGGACCACCGGTCCAGGGGGTCAACCGCCACGTGGGTGTGCTGGTACGCCTGGTTGTAGGTACGGGTCACGATGCCTGGGCGGAAGGTCTTGTAGGGCATGTTCTGCTGGTTGGCTTTGACGCCGATCTGGTCCCACATCTGGGCTATGGCCGAAGTCACTTCGAGGTAATTCGAGCCGCCCAGGGGCGTGAGGGTGATCTCAAAACCGTCGGGATAGCCCGCCTCGGCGAGCAGTTGCCTGGATTTCTCAGGATTGAACTCCCACTGCCTGTACTCCGCCGGCAGCTTGTCCAGGTGGAACGACCACGCCGGCAGGGGGTCGGGATTGCCTCCCCATTCAACAGAGTATCCGAGATTGTCTGGCGGTCGATGGCGATGGACAGGGCCGTTCGCACCTTAGCGGCGTTCTGCCATTCCTCGGAAGCCGGGTCCGGGTTGCCGGAAGCCCAGGGCAAAGTAGGATCGTAGCCGGGGGCTCTTTCCATGTGTTCCGGCGTACGTGAGCCGTCAGCGTTGAGCCCCACGTACCAGTTCCCATAGAAGGCCATGCTCACGGCGCTGCCGCCGGCTATCTTCAACAGGCTGGTGCCTGGCACGTCCTCGACCGCTGCGATGGAGTCCAGGTTCATTTCCAGCGCCGTGAGCTGGCCGGTCTGGAAGTTGGCGACGCGGGTGGACTCCTCGGGAATGTGCTGCCATACCATTTCGGCAAACTCGGGTGTCTTGCGCCAGTGGTCGGGGACCGCGGCCCACCGGGTGAACTGGTCGCTCTTGTGCTCCTTGAACTCCCACGGGCTGGTTCCGGCGATGTTCCTGCTCGCCTCGTCGACACCGACGTCTTCGAGTTGCAGTTTGCTGATGATGTTGACATGGGGGAAAGCAAGCAGACTCAGGGTGTCGTACTGTGGCGTACCGGTGTTCAACTCGATGGTGTACTTGTCTACAGCCTTCACGCGCCCTTCGTCGATGATGCCGGTAACCGTATTGCCTTCTTTGACGTCTCCGCCAACTCCCCAAATCCTGCGGATATGGGCGTTGTACCCTACCCTGGAACTCTCGCCGCCGCTGACCATCATGCTCCAGATGACGCCTTCAGCATCCAGTTCCCCGTAGCCCTTATGGAACTGGGCACCTTCCTGCAGCTTGAACGTCCAGGTGGTGTTGTCCGGAGCAACGCTCCATTCCCTGATCAGTCTGGGAACAATCTCCCGGTCTTCGTTCATGTACAGAAGAGTCTCGGCGGTGGTGAAGCCGTTATGGTGATACCCGGCTCCTTCCGTGACCGTCGGGAAAACGTGGAACGGGGGGACGAGGGGCAATCCAAATGTCAAAGTCCCTCTGGGTCCTATCATGGCCGAGGTTTGCGGCATAGCCGTCGGTTCGGGAGTGGCGGTAGCTGCGACACTTGACCCTCCTGAACTCGGGGCCGTGACGGGCGTGCTTTCTGGCATCGCCGCAGCGGGCGCCGCAGTTGCTGGTGCCGCAGGCGCAGCGGCGGGTGCTTCCCCTGCCGTGCCGCAGGCTACCGCGACTATCAGGGCGAGAGCCAATGGAGTCAAAGCAAGTAGTCGCGGTAATGAGAGCCGTTGGTGCCTCATATCAAAACCTCCGAGTTCCGAAAAATTTGGTCAGGTCCCTGTGCCATTCCGCAGTTCGTCCCGTCTTGACCAATACCGGGACGAATCCACGCCGCATTTGGGTTGACTTGAAAAAGCAACCGTAAAATAGACCGCCATCCGCTACGAGTCAATTGGGGGTACGGTCAGGCATCCTTGGCCCAAATCCACCGAAAGGACGCGAGTGGGCTGGTAACGCAGGGGATGAGAAGCGTGGGTGATGGGCTGCAGTGCCC